TTCAGTTTTTGTTTGAGCTTTCTTTTTTTTGTTGTTTTTCTCCTCAACGGCCTCTCTCTCTAGCTGTTCTTACAGCTAGAATACCCCAGGTATATTATATTTTTTATTTTATTTTATTTATTTTATTTTGTTTGTTTTGTTTATTTTATTTTATTGTTTTTATTCTTTTTTTTCTCTTTTTATTTATCTTTTTTTTATTTTTTTATTTGCTTTTGTTGTTTCTCTCCTCAACGGCCTCTGTCTCTAGCTGTTCTTACAGCTAGAATACCCCAGGTATATATTATTTTATTTTTTTTTATTTATTTTATTTATTTTATTTATTTTATTTTATCTTTTATTTTATTCTTTTTATTCTTTTTTTTCTCTTTTTATTTATCTTTTTTTTATTTTTTTATTTGCTTTTGTTGTTTTTCTCCTCAACGGCCTCTCTCTCTAGCTGTTCTTACAGCTAGGATACCCCAGGTATATATTTTATTTTATTTTATTTTATTTATTTTATTTTATTTTATTTTATTTTATTTTTTTTTGTGTTTTTTTATTTTTTTTTCATATAATTACCTTTATTTTATTCTTCTTCTTTTTTTCTTCTTTTATTTATCTATTTTATTGCTTTTATTATTTTTATTAATCTTATTATCTGCTGCTGCTGTTGCTGCAGCTGCTGCTGCTGTTGCTGCTGCTGCTGCTGTTGCTGCTGTTGCTGCTGCTGCTGCTGCTGCTGCTGTTGCTGCTGCTGCTGCTGCTGCTGCTGCTATTTCTAATATCCTTTTCTGCTGCAACGATCGCTACCTCGACACAAATATCACCAAATGAAGCCCCAAAAATCTAGGGTTTAGGGTTTTAGGGTTTAGGGTTTAGGGTTTAGGGTCTAGGGTTTAGGGTTTAGGGTTTAGGGTTTAGGGTTTAGGGTTTAGGGTTTATGCAGGTGCCGATAACATATGATAATCCTATAAACGCTAAATTGCGTTTAACAGCTCTGAGAAGAGGAGTCAAGGATTGGGGTATAGACTGCGACAACAAGTAAACCCTAAACCCTAATAAACCCTAAACCCTAAACCCTAAACCCTAAACCCTTATTTTTTTTTTTATTTTTTTTTTTTCGTTATTATGCGTTGGAATTTTACACAGGTTGGGGTTGCTAAACCCTAAACCCTAATTTTTTTTTTATTAGTTTTTTATCTGGTTTAGGGTTTAGGGTTTAGGGTTTAGTATATTTGTATATTTAGATTTATTTTTATTTTTTTTTTTTGTTTTTTATTTTTTTTATTTTTATTAGAGTGTGTATTTATATAAGTGTATGTATATCTATATATTTATCATATTTATCTATAAAAGTACATTTATTTATTAATTTTTTTTATTTGTTTTTTTATTTTTTATTTTATAGAGTATTATATTCATCGTTGAATGAGTGTATATTTACCACAATATATATTAAATATAATATATGTTGTGTTTATTTATATATTAAGTAAATATACACATCTATATATAAAACTATATTTATTTATTTTTTTTTTTATTTTATAGAGTATTAGATTCTTCCTTGAATGAGTGGGTATTTAAATAAGTTTAAATATAAATAAATATTCATATTTATTTATAAAACTACATTTATTTATTTCTTTCTTTTTATTTTTTTTTTATTTTTTTATTTTTTTTTTATTTTTTTTTATGTTATAGAGTATTATATTCATCCTTGAACGAGTGGGTATTCCCGCGAGAAAAAGCGAAAAAAAAATTAGAAAATTTGCTTTTGTTGGATGCGAAGTTGAAAGTAATAAAACCCCACAGACAGTGAG